TGTTAACTGGAAAAGTTGAACGTACTGGCAGCAGGCAGCATGCAACATGCAACGGCTGCACCCACGGCAGCAACAGCAGCAGTGCACTAAGAGAAGTTGTATTGTTTATAAGAAATTCTTTTAAAAATTATTATAAAGTCGATATAAAAATAATGAAAACTGCTTTTTAAGGCTTTTATATAGTGTTTTTTAAGTCACAAGGCTTGAAGACTTTAAGAGCCTCTAAAAGTTGGAATTTTCTTACCTTACTTAAGGCACATTTTCTCTCCAAGTGCATGCAACTGCAACAGAGCGGGCAGCGAAACGAGTTGAAAGCCGTTTTCCCTGTTTGCCAGCCAGCCAGAGCCAGAGCTCTTGAAAGTGGTTTTGTTGTCTAACTGCGTTAGTATCTGCTTTAAATTGTGCGCCCAAGCAGCTCCATCGGGGGTTTAATGGCTTTAACTGGCGACTTTGGCATCGACTTCTTTAGCGGGTTCTCAGGCCAAAGCAGCGGCGGCGGCGTCGGCGCTGGGATAAATGTCATAGCGGCGGATGCACCGGGCACATTTATCATTAATCAAAGGCCCAAGAAGCGTCCAATATGCGGAAACTCACTGTCGAATAGCTGTGTATTCCATTCCTTCACCTGGTGGTCGATCATTTCCGTTGAGCGGGCCAAGCAGAAGGCTCCTTTATTTTCCTTTATTTTGACACTGGGCCGGCAACGGCAATTACCTTCTCCTCCTCCCTGCCTCCCTGATTTATGAGTTTTTAATGAGCGGCAACTTTACACGAATTGTTAACAAGTCAAGTGGATAGTTGGAGTTGGAGCTTGGAGTCACCGCGTAGAGTCGGTAAAGTAAGGCGAATATAGCAAGTAAAGCGAGCAATCGCACCTTCACATTCGAGTCGTGCGAATTGTCAGATGAAGATGCTCCAATGATACGGTCATGGGCGTCGGAATTCCCGATACCCTAACTTTGTGCCGAGTCACGGATAATGCAATTGCACTTAACCTAAATTTGCACAATGAGATCTTATTCCTTAAGCACAATTTCAATTATTTCTTGAAGAAAAATTTTGTTAGTCCTGTTAGAGGTGGCAAAACTAAGCCATTGAAATCGATTAAATTAGAGCTTTATTGAAATTGTGTCAACACTTCTCTGTGCCACTTCCATTGTTTCAAGGTGGCAAGAATACACAAACATTGTTCGATAAATATCGATTTAAATATTTCAAGTTTCAATTAAGCTATTGAAATAGATAAGTTTGATGAACTTTGACTTTTATCGAAACTTTGTCTCTTCCATTGTCTTAAAGTGGCAGAAAAATAAGTTGCGAAGATCGATAGCAGCTCTTATCGAGGGTATTCCATCTTCTGCCATAAAGATGCGGCATTTTCTGGTTTCTGTTGTCGCTGGTGATTGATTATGCATTTTCATGCGAACTGGTTGCACCGCGACTGCTGCTGTAGTTTGGTGGCATGCGGGCAGGTGTATAAAATAAGCTCACCCAGCCCCATCCGCCCGTAGCTTGTTGTTGGAGACAGGCCGGCGGCATTGTATGCCAGGCGCGAAATTATATATGTTCGCGGGTAATGCACTGGGGAAAAGTCTAATATTGCTCTGGATTTTATTCCCGAGCTTGTAGTGTCCCCAAATCTTCAATTCCTACATTTAAGTAGTCAGTTTTTCTCTGTGCACATAACGCTGTCAGTGACCTTCACATCGAGGCGATGGAAACGTGCAATTAGAAAAAATGCTAAGCCGCAGGATCAGGCCTCAGACCCAAGTCACAGGTACCATTCTGCGGCGCCCCAAGATTTATGCAGCCAGCTAAAGAAAGGGTTAAGCAAACGACGGCGACGCACCTTTTTGCCTGCGACAGTTTGACATTGAAAAAGTGTAATTAATTGATGGGGCCCACCAACAGGTGGGCGTGGCCAGGGGCAGCTTAAATCGATTTATGCGAGATTTATGATACAAATACACACAAGAAACAGCAGAGAAGACAACTAAAAATGGGGCGCCGCCTGCAATTTGGAAATCAATCAAAAAGCCCAATTGCCACTTACGACATGCAAAGCAAAGCAAAAATACAGATAAAATAGACAAGTAAAATTCCCAACTACTGTCGATCGCATCGATGCCGCGTTAGCATCCGGTCGCATACTTTTGGGTGTGTTCACACTATCCCCATCATCGCCCTGCGCTCCATCAGCTGAGACGATGCACAAAATGTTTGTTTAGCGAGAGCACACATTTTTCAAGCTATCAGCATTTATTTTTAATAAAGATGCCATCATTAATTTTACGTCTGTGGGTTTTTTCTGTGGAGGGTATTTTTCGGTCGATCGGGCAAAAATGTGTCACTCGCTTCTTTGACTTTGATTTAGTGGCTAGACAGGTTAAAACCAGATGAGATCATCCTCAGAGCGTTGAACAGAGACGGCACCAGCGACAGTGACGTTGATGACGGCGGAGATAGCGTTGACAGCAGCATCAGAGGAGGACAGCAAACGCTGGGATCGGGCAGGAGGAAGAGCCAGTTTCTCGTTTGCACAGCCAGCTATTCAACGAATTGTTCGGTCTTACCTTCCAACGACAAGAGGCTTTAGCTTAGATTTCGGTTGAAGTGACCGGCGGCTGTTTTTTTGGCCTTCATTCAAAAATTATTTGACATTGTACAAATATTTTGATAAGATCTACCAAAATGTGTGCGTAGATGTAGATTTATGCCGTTAGTTGAAGTAAGGTACAGCATTTTATAAACGATAATCATATTAGGGGTATATATTTTAATTTCTGATTGTACTCTTAAAAAATACCGTTAAAAAGTTACACCGTTTGACTAGTTTTCCCCGATTGAGTTTTCGATAGCTTTAGCTATCGGTCAATTATCACCACTGACCAATGCCACGCCATCTTGTATTCATTTGGAACGCCAAAAAGTGAAAGAAGCCGACAATTACAATTAAAAGCAGAAAGAAAAGACATTAAGTGCAAATCAGATAGAGAGTGCCTTCGATTTGGTGTAAATCCCGATAATTAAGAAATGGGAATTACGTGCGGCAGATTAAGCGCCGCATTGCGTACCGCAGTTCAACAATTTCGTGATTTCCAATCGCCGCAAAGAAACAACACAAACCGCATTTGCCACATTTATCACGCACATATATCAGCTTGTCAGCCAAAGGGAGCTGCCCAGGAAATCCCAGGGAGAGAGAACCCACCAAATTACGCTCATTTCGCGCCGCCACATAAATTTATCAGGCATCACACAGCATATTTTCCGCGCAGCCGCAATAAACATAAAGCTAAAGCCGGCGAAACTGTGGGCCAGCTTTAATTAAGTGATTATGAACATGGGCGAACACAAATCGCCAACGGCGGCTGCTGGCCAGAAACTCTCGGATCTGGGAAACGGCCAAAACAAGATTAGACGCTCGTTGCAGGAGCAGCAGCAGCAGCACTTCAAATGTCGTTAGAACGGAGTAAATCTATGGCCACGGCCAATTCTTTTTATGGCCAAAGTCAGCAAACAAGATTTGAACCCTGGAAGCCGGCAACCCAGGAACCCAGGAACCCTGGAACCTTGGAACATGGCTGCCATGCCAGACCGTCGACTTCCTCCTGTAATTTAGCTCAGAGTGTGTATTTTATTTAAGCGTTTATTAGCTGATAAACCGAAATAGATAAATCGTGGTCCAAAGGGAAACCCAATTCCGTGTTTCTTGCCTAAGCCCGTTGAAGGTTTTATTGCCAGCCTTGGGCGATGTATTCCAGTCTCGGCTTGCAGAGATAGATAATGGCAAATATTTTTACACACGTTAAAAACATTCACAGCGTCTTAAGAAAGTTGTTTGTTCACGCCCCCTCCATCTACAACTACAGTGGTACTTCTATAAGGCGACTGTAAATTTAAAATATTTACGATGTTGCCCCTTATAAAAAACGTATTCCTTTAGGGCAATAATTTGGCGGTTGGTGCAGTTTTTACTATTGGAAAGCGTGTTGAATTATTCCAATCTAAGTTTCATTGATCAATTTTTCTCTATTGGAATTAAAAGTGTAATATTTTGAGAGATTTATTATATATTCTGTACTTAAAATCTAAGCTTTAGGTTAAGCTAAAAATAATTTCCTAGAAAACCCCAATTTTCTTTGTTTCTCCATAAGTGACGCCCTCTTCTCAGGCACTTCCGTCTTATGTCATAATTATGAGAGCGACCGCCTACCATATAAAGATGCTATCAGACTTCACACAAAATTATTACGTTATCCCAAAAAACCCCGGGAGGTTGGACACACAATTTTCTGTCATTCTACCCAATTAACAGCTGGTCCATGCCCGTATTATTGTTCGTTTTTTGTTTAGTTTTTCTAGTTAGCAAGCCAAAGTCTGATGAAAATCAGTCGCAGGCTGAAAACTAAAAACTGAAAGTGGAAAATGAATGCGTGAGAAAATCGCCAACAGGTAGCGAACAATGAATATTGCGGACACTACACTAAACATTTTCTGTTTCGGCCAAAAGGTGTTCGCTTGGGCATTATTTTTTATGCCGGTCCCGTTGCTGGATAAGTTTTTTTTTTTTCAGGGAAAGGCAAAGGAAGCGATAAGCCTGTGTCCGGGGACGAAGACTCATGTTTGCGCATAAATTTCAAGTGTCATTTACCCGTCTTCGCATTTGTCTTTTGTTTCTCCTTTTTTTCTTTTGTTATTTTTTGGCACCTGTCCGAGAGATGACCGGGCCAATTTTGTTTTGTTTGTGCGTGCTCAACATTTTTAAGTTAATTATTTTATTTGTTTTGCGCTGGAAGAGCTCTGTTCCCTAAGCTGAAAAGCGCCTTAGCAACCCATAGGTGGCCCCTTATAATTGTATTTATTTGTGTTACTTAACATGCTCTTAATTGATTTTTCTATGGTTTTTAATATGTATTTTTTTGTGTTACTTAACATGATCTTAATTGATTTTTCAATGGTTTTTAATATGTGATTTCTTCTGTTTGTTTTCTTTGCAGCAAAAATGAAAATATTTTTGCCACTAGTCACGTGGATAGTGCTACTACTCTCGAGTACAGTAAGTACCGCATAAACCTATATGTTATTAAGTTAATTAGTGTTAAGTTGAAGTGGGGTTAAAGCTAAATATCGATGGGATTAGATCACTGGCTGTGGCATCAACAGTTAGCGCGAGGGTCATAATTAATTTATGGCTTCTCGAAAGGCCGCGGCACAAAGAGCCTTTCACGCCCCGCCGCTTAAAAGAAGAGAAATATGATTAAATTTACGAGCTGCCACCTCATTATGAAACAAATTTCGGAACAAATAAGTATACACAAATGGAAAAATAAAACCCAATCCCAGAAGTGAAAGAACGAAACCCCCAAAATGATGGACAAACACATTTGTTCGTTCAAAAAAAAAAAGAAATAATACAGAATCCGGCAGCGAACAGAGGGAACAAATTATAGCGATGGAACCTTTGATGACCTAACGGTATCTGGTCGAGGCCAGGTCTCATGCAAATGAGCCATAAAAAGAAATTACTGCAAAATGACTCGGGCATAGGTAAGCATATTTATTAAACCTAACAGCTAGCTGTGAAATATCTCCAGGAGAGTGAGAGCAAACCCTCGGCGGAAGAGTTGCTGAGCAAATAATTTGACACTGGATGAACAGAAGAAACTCTAAGCAAAGAAAGGCCAGCAAGAGGGGCTAGTAATGACAGGGCTGGCGGAAGACCATGCCAGCAAGAATCACCATCGACTGGCCAAGGAACCCGAACGCAAACCAAACCAAACCGAACGGAGCCAATCGATGGAAGAAAGCAAAGAAAACAACGTAATGAATAAAAATAGCCGCATTAGCTGTAAAAACGCTTTGATAGTCATCGATTTATGCAGTCGTCGACGAGAACGCGAAGAGTGTCCGGTGTGAATGAGGGAACGCAGGGCAAGAGGGGGACTTTGAGAAATTGGCCAAACAGAATGAAGTCGGCTCTAAGCCGAAAGCCGGCCAAGTTCATTGACACCAACCACCACTAGCCAGTTTGTGGTTTTCTTTGCGACACTCTACCTCTGCCTCTTTCATGGATTTGTGCTTTCTTTTGTGCGTTCGGAACTTGATTTATGCGTAGCAGTCATATTTCATTTGATTAGCTAGATACGTTTATAATTGATTGTGTGTTTTGAGATTTCTTTCGTTGCTTACAAACAAAAGACTCAGGCAACGAACTTGCTCGCTGACTGATGTTTTGTGTGCTGAAAGCTAATATTGGCACATGGATTAGAGCGTGCAAACTAAAGCTGTCAAAATATGGATAGTATTATGTATGTATCCAATTTTTAATAAAAATTAATACTGACTTTTTCACTTTGCAAGTTTCTGCCTAAAATGATAATACCTGCAAGGGTATAAAAACACAAAAATACAGAAGAAAATTCAATTTTAAAATTCTCCTAAATTGTATTGATGCAATATAGATTTTTTTAAGCCCAAATAATTTATTTTATGTTGGAAAACCTATTAAACTGTCAGAAAAAAATCATCAAGATTCCCGCAATTAACTAGGTAATCTTTGGAACAGGACTAATTTGTGCCTAGTTTACACACACACACACACTCACTGTGTGCGATGGCAGGAGTTAATGCCAATTGACAGTTATAACGGATATGCACTTGAGCGTTGACGTGCAACGTCGTCATCATCATCTGTCTGACGTTGTCATTGCGCCTGTTAACAAGCTTGGAAGCTACGAAAAATTGCTCATTGTAGTCGTCGCTTGGCACCGCAGCTCAATGTCATGGGAGCTTTCAGCAGTCGCATCATCATCATCATCATCGTCAGCAGCAGTAGCAGCAGCAGAGGCATCAGTAACATCAGCATCCACATCCACTTCGCACATCTTTGCTCGCACGCCTTTAATTGTTGCATCGCTTTTGCTGTTGGTGTTGTTGGTGGCTGGTGTTGCCTCTGCCGAGTGCATGTGCTGCTCATTGTGCCGCCTGTCAATTGATAAAAGTCGCTGAGACGTCGGCGGAATCTATTGTTTAGCAAGGCCGTTAGCGTTGCATGGCGTGAAGTGAGCACAAAACAAACACAATTGAAAACCCCAAGCCACATAGAACTTGAGAGGGAGCACATGCGGGTGCTCCTCTTCCTCCCAAGCGGCGGCGGCGGCAGTGCGATAAGAATCTGCCTAAAACAATTCGCGGCAAACTTGAACTTGACAGCCAGTGCCTCATGTTCGCACCTTCCGCGGCGGGGGTCGTAGAGTAATTTAAGTTGCTTTTTATGGCCTCCACTCCAGCTCATTAGTCGCCCAGCTCAAACAAAGCAAAGAAAATGGGCCTTAAATGAGGAAACTGGGAAAATTTGCTGGGATTTTTCTAGTAAGGTAGCAATTGAATGAAGTTACTTGTTGGTAATTGAGACACTGAACTCTGCATAGAATTAATTGGGGAAAAATAGTGAAAAGGGCCAATGATGACGTTACGAAAGGAAAAAATGTATAAAAGCTGGCACAAATTGAAGACCTAGAAATCTAAATAAAGCTCATGGGTTATAAAAGAAATGGAAGTATTTTTAATTGAATTACAAAATAACAATTATTAAAATATAAATAAAGGAATATTAACTAATTAAACTAAAGAGATAGATCTTCTAAATACAAAAGAAAACCAACACTTATGTTGATTATCGAAATCCCAACATATCCACCTTTATCTTGTTTTACAAGTATTTGAGATTTTTCCAAATCTGATCTAACCACTTAATAACTATATTTGAGCGTAGGAAGTCAAATTGAACAAGCTACAAAAATAGAAGTACAATCGTAGATGTATAACACACCAGCAATGCGACAAATACAACACATGTATGGGCCAAACTAGTTTTAATTCATTTTTGCTGGAGCACAAAAAGGTCTTAAGTGACAAACTTGTTTTCCCCCCAGCCAAAGCCAAGCTATCTAACGCTGGCAACAGAAACACACATACACACACACGAGTCGGCAAAGTTTTGGCCAAGAAAATATGGCAAGCGGCAAACAACTTTTGTTTTGCTTAAAGTAAAATCAGCCAAGTGTAACAATTAAGTGGCGGCGACGGCGGCAAAGCAACACAATATAGCTGAGACGGTCTAGAGTATACTCTGAGTATACCTGTACTATAGGGTCGTGCCCATATGGACCACATCGGGTTGAGAAATCTGAAGAAGCGCTGCCGGTGCTACGCCTGCTAAGCTTGCTGTATCTAATTTGAATTTAAATTAGTTTAGCGAAACCAGCTTGGGTTCGTCGAAATACTATAACTATACTCTACGGAATGAGGTTGCAGTGAAGGTTGGGTTTTAGGAAAGGGTTAACTATATTAAACCATAGGTATCTTGATAAAAGATCACTTGTAAATAAGAAAATTTTGTGAATACATTAAGGTATTGATGTTTTTTAGTAGGAAATACAAAGGAATCATAAAAAGTGTTACCTTTGTAATTATTTCAATGCTACAGAATTTAATATTTATATATGTCGGAGATATCCGTTATTTAATTTAACCGTAGTCGAGCCAGCGAGTTCTGTTCGCCTGCGCAGTCAAATCGAATCTGTCATCACGCCACTTTTCCTGTGGCCCTTTCACCTTTTCTTACTTTTCACTCAGATGTCATTCCTAGACAATCTCAAGCTGTCTCTCTCATTCTCTCCTATTGTTGCGACAGACGAACAGACCTCACTCAGTAACACTCCTGTTACCGACTCAACTGTCATTGCGCCTGCGCGCCAGCGACACCTACAGGCTACCAATACCTGAGCATGCCGAATAGTTCTGTTGCCATAGCAACAAGCTTTCCAAATTTGCACTTAGCAACCAACTCGCCGACACGGCCATCCTGACAATTCACGCGTCCTCGCGTGACGTGTCTTCTAATAGCTCTAAACATAACTGTCATTTTCATTTATCATTCTCTCTTTTTTTCTCTCTTTGGTCTCAACTTAACATTTCATTTTATCTGTTTTATTCATGTCAAATAAGCTTTACTTTTATTTCTTCTCGCCACTTCATTCTCTTCTCGTACCAAATCTGTATCTTCTTTCTCTGCTCGTACCACAACTCTTACTCAACATCTCTTCATCAATTTATACAGGCTCTTGCTGCACACTTTGCAACGCTCACACGCACCTCTTGCGTCACGGTCTCTCTGGACCCTCACAGCCTTATAAATGATTCCACCAACGAGTGCCTCAGTCGGCGATCTCTCGCTTACACTTCTAGTGTCTTCAAATGTTAGTTTGGCAGGATAACCTTTCGAAACCATAGAGTACAAGCTCTTTTCGTATTTCAAAAGGCTCCGCTTCACATATTCTGACCATAGGAATAAAGTAGGCCCCGTTTCATGTGATCCGACACGGCCTTCCTGACAAATCACACGTCCTCGTGTGTTAACTTTAAATCACAGTATTCTAAAATTTCGGTACTCGTTACATTTTATTGTCAACAAACATTTCATTAATTTTCTAAACATAAGTATTGAGGCATTTAGACAAAATAAGCATCTTGGTTTCATGATAACATAACAAATTACATCTTCATTTTAATCATAATTTACAATTCAGACTTCTCTAATTACATAGCTTTATCAACTGGTGTATTTCCTTTTACACCCACATACTGACCCCCGCCATAACAATTCCTTCTGTTATGGTGCGGTCTCCACTGACCCCCGCCATAACAATTCCTTCTGTTATGGTGCGGTCTCCACTGACCCCCCGCCATAACAATTCCTTCTGTTATGGTGCGGTCTTTATATCCCCTCTTGGGATTCCAAGGCATCAACCGTGCCATCCATATCATCATTCCCCACATGGGAATCAGACGCATCTCCACTTGAGTCGTCTAAATCTTTAATCAACTTTAATCTTTAATCAATCAACGTCATTGCTTATTTTGTCTATTTGGCTATGCCCTCAAAAACTCATGCGCATACTTATAAAAGTTCGCTTACTTGACAGATATCTCAAAACATATCAGCCACCATCAAGCTTTTCTATAAACTCTGTTTGGTGCCGATCTTCATTTTCATTTTCCATCTTCATTTCTTTCTCTTTTCTCTCTCATTCTTAACATATTTTCCATTTTCATTTTTCATTTTAAATTAATCTTGCCCTATCAAAATTAGTGCTCTTCCGAACCAGCATAACGTAACTTTAAATTTCTCTTTCTTTATACTTTTCTCTGTGTCATGTGGTGGTATCAAGCCCAAAGGGTGGGTCCGATTGGCATCTCTTAAGGGCTTGCATTGGTTGCACTACTAACTGTGCAGTTCGCCGCAAGTTGCACCCCGCCAAGAGCATCTTCCCATCACCTCTGCGGTCCTGGTATCCAGCCAGATGACTACTTTACAACTTTACACATGATACAATTTTCAACAATCTTTAAACTTAGTCATTTCCAACAATTCTGATAAATATTGCTGGGTCTATTTTTTCCAACCCAAACACATAACGGATTTATAACCTTGATTAATAACTATCCAACAAAATTTAAGGGACACTACTGGCAGATAACATTGCCTCACACCTCTCTGTATTCTTTAAAATCCCTCTTCGTAACTCAAGTTAATTTCAATTATTTTTAGTTGTTTATAAACTATACCAATAAATCCTGAATCCTGAAGTTGATCAGTCGGTCATTTGAGATTTCCATTCTAAGTTCAGACGTTTTTCTGTCAATTTATTTTTATTTATCGGAGTTAAATCAGTCATGTGAATTCTGGACACAAAAAGAATTCCACAATTGCCTTGCGCTTTCTCTTCCTCTACTCTATGATGCACTTCAGTTAATTTTTTTTTTTTTAGAAATGATTACATCTGCAATAAGTATAGACTACAAACTCTCATCTGAGCAAACAATGCCAAAAATGTCAGAATAATTGCACGCCAACCAATATTTCCAATTCATACAAAGGCTACTTGGACTCCACAAGACACATAGTTCTACCAATATATCCACCAACATAAGGGTCTCCATTAATTAGGTGTATTAGCATTGGACCATATCCACAAGAGCTTATATCTGTTTCAAATTTGATCAGATGTTTCGAACCCACAAATAACGATTACAGGCTCATTTGTAATAATATTAAAAACGTTCGTTCCAATTTCTGAATATCGTCATTTCACTTATAGATACTTGAAGCCGAAGAATCTGTCTCATGATCTGAGAAAATCGAGGCACACGTTTTTGAAAATAAGGCACCAATTCAATAAATGGTCTTACGACGGTCTCTTAATTGCACCGATTAAAAGGACGGACCTTTAACGTAAGGATTTTCTAGGAATTGGGTCTGATTTCTCCACCGCACACCTCATAGCTCAGATACTGCGTAGTAGGTTCAAGAAACCCACATTTGGTAACGTTAAATGGCAACTCTGGTACAGTCAACACATTTAATACAACCTTCAGCCTTCGGAAAGCCTTTTCTTCCGAGTTTGCCATGATTAACATGCATCTATGTAAACTATCGCAAATAATCATGATAAATTCCAAACGCCTTAACAATTGCATGATGAAGGTAGAAGATGCACTCTTCAAACCAAACGGCACGGCAGACCAAACAGACGGCAACTCGTAATTTTTTTAAATTAATTATTTTTCAACAGAAACATTTTTCCTTCACAGGGTCTGACATAAGCGGCAAAGGCCACTGTCCGAAACCATTTTCGAATATTGCTTCCGATAGTCTAAGCACAACCTATCGTAGCACAGGGCTCGCCAATGGGAAGGCAGATGTGCAAACAACACTGCAATCAAACACATCTCTATTCCCATCTTTTAGCCAATTCAGCTCCCAAATCAAAGAATAATTGGAAAGGGCTCACCCGATACTGTCACTGTTGAATCACACAAATCAACTCGCTTCTACATGCAGCTGATGCTGCCGCTCGCAGCCGCTGATACCCATCTCGTGCACACAGATGCAATGTGACCACCGTTATCACGCCTGAAGTGCGTCACTCCAGCTCTCCGCACTTCAGCCGCAGTTCCGCCAGTGTGCTGTTGTTGTTGTCTTCCATTCTTCCCCAAATTTTCTGGCCGACACTGATGACACTTGCAACCGTCCGGCTCAACACGCGACCAGTGCATTTGACTGCCTATCACGACTCCGGTGTCTCGCACCGCGCGGCTGCGCAAGCTTTCGATGCGCTACTGAATTTAATATCGACCGAAAATCACTTTATCAGAATGCCCGCGAGGCTATGGTGAATCCCACTTCTGATGTCGGAGATATCCGTTATTTAATTTAACCGTAGTCGAGCCAGCGAGTTCTGTTCGCCTGCGCAGTCAAATCGAATCTGTCATCACGCCACTTTTCCTGTGGCCCTTTCACCTTTTCTTACTTTTCACTCAGATGTCATTCCTAGACAATCTCAAGCTGTCTCTCTCATTCTCTCCTATTGTTGCGACAGACGAACAGACCTCACTCAGTAACACTCCTGTTACCGACTCAACTGTCATTGCGCCTGCGCGCCAGCGACACCTACAGGCTACCAATACCTGAGCATGCCGAATAGTTCTGTTGCCATAGCAACAAGCTTTCCAAATTTGCACTTAGCAACCAACTCGCCGACATATATTTCTTTATAAGCTATCTTAGTAACCTTTAAATTATAAATTCCCAAACTAATCACACGCCTTTGTGTGCTTACTTACAGGTACATTCACAATATACACAACAACCGCAACCATTCAAGACAAACTTGAGGGCGAATAGTCGGTTTCGCGGCGAGGTGTTCTATCTAAACCTCGAGGATGGCTACTTTGGCTGCCAAGTCAACGAGTCCACCGACTATTTGCAGCTTTACGAACTATCGAAACTATGCGACGGCACCCAGGACTGTTATCTGGGTTCCGATGAGTTGAGCAAAGAGCTCAAATGCACAAGTGAGTATTAAAGCAACCGGGCGAATCTCTTTAATGGGTTTTAGGCTAACCCAAGGATGATGATCATGATCTCATATATGTATATATATATTTTCTGCCAGATGACTGTGATAAGGATGGCACCCAGTGCACACATGGCGCGTGTTTGAACGGCGTCTGCCATTGCAATGACGGCTACGGTGGCTGCAATTGCGTGGACAAAGGTGAGTCTAAAAGTAGTGGCCCGCCTTGTGCTGAGCTTATATAACAAAAAAAATAGATAAAACCCGTTAACAAAACCCCTACCATTACCATTCCTTGCGTTACAGATGAGAACGAATGCAAACAGCGTCCGTGCGATGTGTTCGCCCATTGCACAAACACACTGGGCAGCTTCACGTGTACCTGCTTTCCGGGCTATCGCGGCAATGGCTTCCATTGTGAAGGTAAGTGCTACACAGAGGAAAATGTTTAAAGCATTAAATATATAAATATTTGTAATAAGATGAGAAGTTTAGGTTTTAAAAAAATATAAATTTAATAAAAAAATTATTTACTATTTTACAAGGATAATAGTAAATCTTTTTTATTACCTTAATTTTCTTAGTTGAGCTGGAAATAAATTTCTTAGCTTTCAGTTAGTATTAATTTTACTCAGTGCAACCTTAGTCCGCACAGCCTCCGTTTTAGTTTCTTTGTATTACTTAGCATAATGACTGACCAGCCAACCAAGCAGTACAGATGATTGTTGTTTGCCGTTTTGTACTTCCGTCAACGTCTCTCTTTTTAGACCCAGTCTTGGGTCGTTTTGTACCCTAGACCTAACGGTTTCAGCCATTCCACCAGCCTCCAGAGCTGAAAATGTAACAAAAGACGCGCCAGACAATAATATGAAAGCTTTCTCAGCAAGAATAGGAGTAATACTTATCTGCGAGGTAATAATAATGACCGTGTAGCGATTACACTTGAGTGCGGAGAAAGAGAGAGAGAGAGCCACGGGCAGCAAATCTCTAATGCCAGACTGAAGCTATCTGGGAGCCCTGGCCAAACGAATTTCGAAATATCTCAATCAGTTTCCGCCGATCTACTGCTACAGTTTCGATCCCGGGGTCGGTACCATTTGCTCGTTAGCCTAAGTGCCGCTCAGCAGGGGCCAACAAAAAGATAGAACTCTCTCTGGGTGCTGGGTTCTGGGTTCTGGGCGCACCTGTTTCCCCACATGATGCTAGTTCAGGATTGGGTATATGACAGTGACAAACCGGCTGGTATAATTGGACTGCGGCTAATGTTACGTAATAAAAACACATTATGGCATCACAAAAAAAATAAGAGAAAACCCAAAGAAGAACGAATCGAAGACAAGAAGAACCACAAGATCGCAGCGGTAATAACTAGGAAAGTGTACGAAGAGGTTAGCGTTAGCAAGTAGTTCAGCTCGAGAGTCTATTCTTTATAGATGATGATGATGGCCATGATAATGATGCGGCTGAATCCGGGGGAACGAACAATAAAAAGCCACAGACACAGCACATTTATTGCAGCAATGCTTTCGCGCCATGCAACACATCGGGGCTCTGTCTGTTAGACGGGGAATCAGTGTCATGTAATCTGACCCCGAACATGGACACGCCAGAACTTTCAACACTCTCGAACAGGAGAAGGAAGGAGGTAGGAGAATGGTGAGGTTACTGCCACGCCCCACCACCTGCATTCGATGCGATGCGATAACGAGCGCAAATTTCACAGAGACAGACCCTCTCTCCTGGCATTACCCCACTAAGTATGAAGACGTTGCCAAGATTCTAGATTACATGTGACGACGACGTATGATCCCCCGTCTCCCCCATATCATTCATCCCAGCGTCAGGCATGCATAAATTCTGAGCGTGTAACGCCAGCATCGCATTTCAGTCGCATTATCTAATTCTTTTCTATAGAAACTTTTTTTTTCACATATTTTTCACGATGCCATGATTGCGTTTGCCATGTTGCATTGGGGACAGAGAGCCCAGGGCCCAGGGCCCTTCTCCAGACCCATCCAGAACCTCGCAATTGTCTGTAATCATCTGAATTAGTTTGGATATGCGATGAGAAAGTCTCTTGTGTAGTTGAATCTCCATCATGGACACATACACGCACTCCTCCGTTTCCCAGGCCAAATGCTTTTAAGCACACACAATTAAATGTTGATGTTCTCTGGCAGTATCAGTAGCTGCTTGCATAATTTTGAAATAAATTTAAATACAAGGAGGTGAATTCATTGAGGATTATCAGATGGTAGATTAGCTTGTCTTGTTGTAATGGAGGGGAGTATATTAGTTGAGACATTGTTTGCTAGAATAATTATAACTTAAAATAAGAGAATTAATGTTCCTCATGTTTTAATAGTAAGCAAAAAAAAAAAAAATTAAAATCAAATATATAATTATTATACATTGATATTTATTTGTATTCACCTTTAACGAAATTTACATAGAAAACCCTATTAGAAAATACGTACATACCAATCAAGATTTGCATTAACCATCCAGAAATAGGCCAATCTTTAAGTGCCTGCCAAGCCATAAAACCGTTTCCATTTGAGCCTTAAATCTCTTTCTTTTTGAAGTAAATTTCCGCCTTGAGGGGGGAACCAATGTCTTGCTCACATCCTGCAAACACCCAATTTTCGCTTAGAGTGTCGCCTGCAGCGTGTTATGTAAATCCAGTTTCTGCATCAAGTTCACCCAATAAACTTAGCAACAAATCACACTGCCGCCTGCTCTTGGCTTAGAGACACATTTTGCGTATGGCTATGTAACCGAGGTGCGAGTGTATATATCTACCTGTTTTCCTGTTTCTGTTTTGCACCTAACGGTGGTTTGTGGCAAACACCTGTTTTAGACTCCGTGGCGCATTATTTCATGTTCATAACTCAAACGCGTTCGATGTGGATGCCTACGATGGCTTCGTTAACGCATCGCAAAAGTCCAGTTATGCAATGACTATTGAAAAATGAGAGAGGGGTAGGGCGGGGAGACTCGGAGAGAGAGTGTGGGATTTGAGCTATCGATCCTTCTAATGCAATAAATGGAGTGAGTCTCTCCAGTTGAGTGCTAAAATTTATTTCCACTTGGCCAGCGCCAAAAGACAACAAGTCGCGAGGCGCAAAAAGACTCCAATAAAAGTTGGTGCTGGGCCGCTCCAAACCAAGTTGGCCAGGCACGTTCACCAGGCGGCTCGGCGGCTGCTCCCTTTCGATTCGCTAACTGGGGCAGATCATTAAAACGGATAAAATAGATTGTGCCCACGTAGGCAACGCCGTCACAGCTCTCCAGCCACAGCCACAGCTACAGCTACAGCATCAGCTCTTGGAGATATTCGAGGCGGTAGCGTTGTTGGCGCTTAATGCCGCCTGTCCTCAAACGGCACTGCCTCCAACTCCCGACATCGAGTACGGCTCCATCTCTGTCTCCGTCTCCGTCTCCCGTTTCCAAAAGCCAAAAGCCGAAACCGACACCAACTTCAATCCGCCGTCTTGTTGCCGGTCGACGCACCAGTTGGAGATCAACGTCAGTTGATAAGCTTGGCCAGTTTTTCGTTACATTTTTAAATACTCTTTCTAGGAGGTATCTTTCATAGCAGGCATAGAATTAAAGAGAATATAAATAGTTGATTTTTTCACAAAAAAAAATTGTGGTTAGTTATCTTCTATTGATTTTTTAAGTAATTTAAAAGTTTTTCATTTTATTTAGCATTAACTTTAAGAACAAGACATCTTGAAGAGTGTTACCAGCTCGGTTTTCCTTTTGGATAGTTTTTTCTCCTTCGACTGCTTGCTTATTTCAATTCCTTTTGTAGTTGATACCCTTTTTCTAGTTTGTTTTTTTGCCAGGTACTTTACACTTTTGCATATCAAAATGGCAGCAATTAATTCTGTTGTCCAAGCCGGCACTGATAAGGCTTGAAAATGGCTTTAAGCGTCGGCATTGACACGCCTAATTATATGTGTTGCCACATTTACGCACAAATGAGGGGCGGCGGCGGCTTCGCCCAAGAAAAGCCGCCACCCATGGCTTGGCTTTAGCCCGGATCCGGCTTGGACTGACATCACTTTGCCGGGTCTCGACCTTGATCTTAGAAGAGTATATTCCACAGTCGTTGCATGGCAAAAACTAGACGCATAATTGCGTAACAAATTGTTAACTAATTTTAGTTTTCTTTATTACCAGAGCTACTTATGTGTATATATTTTGCTATTTTGTAGACCGAGTTCAAGTTCAACTTGGCTTTGAGCTCTCAGGTTTATTGTTATTTATTCGACCTGCTAATCATCGCGCGGCAGTGGAGCATGAAAGTCGTGTCCGCTCGTAAATTGTATCTCTTCTATATATTATATTTACATATATAACATATATATGTACACATGGTTGCAGGCGAAATCATGGCACGAATGTCATAATTCAAATGGAAACCAACAAATGCAACGAGTGCGCCAAATGCTAATTAGTCTAGTTCAGCAATTACACAATTTATTAGATAGACGCCAGCCAGACGAGACTGTACAGATTAGTTTCTCCTTTTCAAGTGGATTGATAATTAGTTGTAATTGCAGTGGAAAAAGCTAGACAAAGGTTGGTTTGGCAAACAAAAAGAATTAATTATACATATGCCATCAGACGAAAAACATATTCAGCTTACCAAGAACCAAAGTTCTTATTAAAAATATTGTTTTTAGAAACATTGGTTTAATAACGTTCATAGCTTTGAAGTTTTTTCTGCATTCGTGTGGCTTTAATGACCAGATCACTGCCTTTTAAAATGCCACTTGGAACACGTCTCCCTCCCTCTCAGTCTCAAGTTCTCTGACGATTATGGTTAGGAACAGGAAATCCAAGAAGACGACGGCCAACGAGAATTATGTCAGCATCATTTCAGGCAATCATTCGGCTTAATCACATTGAGTCACGCATATTTGATTGCTTTTAAAGCGGTCAAATCCGATAACTATAGGGGGGAAAATATAAAAAGATCGCATACCTATTGCCAAAATAGAAATATAATTCGCGAGAACAGAAGTCAAATCGCAGAGCAGAGCTTATTAAATTTACACTTCCCCGAGATGAGTCTCTCGTTCAGACAGGCTGTAAGAATATCAGTCCTGGCAGGAGATGTAACAACCGTGCTAAGTTCATTAGACAGCCTTTGGTCAATGGCCCTGGGTTCCCAGCTGAGGATCGAGACTGTGTCTGGTCTCTGGGCTGCTGCTGTCGTCTTGCCAGTCGCATTGCATGAAGTAATTAAACCGACATTGAAACTTAGAAGAACACAGAATGCTTCCTGCTTCTGGTCCATGGAGAGACATAGAGAAAAGAGCCAAGACAGGCATGAGATCGAGTCTCCGACGAGGATGATGACATTGAGTAATCAGAGTTTGCAATTGCAACGTGGCGGTGATGCCGGCAAACATGGAATGCTGTCATATCAGTTGTTGGTTGTTAAGTGCAAATACCAGTTTCGGTGCTGCCCCGCCACCAGAGTGATGATCCTCTTAATTTATAAGCTAAAAACTAGTAATTATAACTGAACGGCCAGCCGGCCGGTCGGACGTCTCGTTCTGCTTGTAATTATAAGGCACTCACTATCCCTCCGTCGCTCCCAGTCCCAGGTCCTTGTCTTTGGCTTTTGCCAACTTTTGTACTTATGTCATATTAGCCATAAATGTACAACTTTAGCCTGTGCGCTTGGCCCAATGATTAATGGGCCCAGATTGCGCTGGAGCGGCGGCGACTGCCCATGCCTTCGTTCCAGTCGCAACCCATCCTCATGCCGTCCAGCTGACTTACCGCTTCATTGGCTTTGACTGAGGGCAATATTGAATTCTCAATGCCCGGCTGCGCGCTATTGGAGCAGAAACCCTTGATCCCATGCTCATCCTACGCCAGTCTTCCGCCTGAACTGGGCTTTAGATTAAGATTCAGAAACGGAGACAGCCGTTGAGCTGGGCTTAGCTGAAAGGTTAGATGGGGCGTATATATTTTATATTGTATATTTTAATAAAACAAAATACCTACGAGACCTTGAACAATGTAATCTTTTTTTTTCAAAACTAATAATAATCTTTGAAGAAAAAAATTATAAATTTTTATTTATTTTTTATTTATATTTAATTATAATAATGATTATTATTATTTTTTTAATCAAAACTAATTTTTATTTTCAATATTTTTTTACTTGTACATTTAAAGATAACAGAATCATTATAAATTGAATTGATTTTTATATTTAACAAGAAAGGAAGCTAACTTCGGCACGCCGAAGTTTGTATACCCTTGCAGATTGGTTTTCATATTTATATTATAAATTATAATGCCGAAAACAGACACTAAACAGAGTTTCATTAAATATTTAGCTATACTTATTATGTTTACAGTTTAACAGTTACAGTTTTACATTCCCAGCTTTATATATTTTATACATTTACCGATCGCTTCTATGACAGCTATAAGATATAGTTGTCCGATTTTTATAAAATTTATACCAAATATCTATAATAATAATTAAAGCTCATATCTCGTAGATGAAAATACGTTAAAAAACAACGAAGTTATAATTTTTTCTATTACTTTCCCTATCGTTCCTATGGCAGCTATAAGATATAGTCGTCCGATTTTCATAAAATTTATACCAAAATTTTGAAATAATACCAGAAGCTCATGTGTCAAAGTAGATTAAAATACGTTGAAAAACAACGAAGTTATAATTTTTTTCGATTAATTTCCCGATCGTTCCTATGGCAGCTATAAGATATAGTGGTCAGATTTTCATAAAATTTTTACCAAAATTCTGGAATAATAAAAAAAGGCTTCATCCCAAAAATGGTGGAATAATATTGAAAAACAGCCAAGTTATAATTTTTTTTCCAAAAATTTATCGAACATTTGTATGGCAGCTATATGATATAGTCGTCCGATCCGGCCCATTCCGACATATATAGCAGTGAGAGTATATAGAAGACTATATGCAAAGTTTCATTCAGATAGCTTTAAAACTGAGGGACTAGTTTGCGTAGAAACAGACAGACGGACAGACGGACAGACGGACAGACGGACATGGCTAGATCGACTCGGCTGTTGATGCTGATCAAGAATATATATACTTTATAGGGTCGGAAACGTCTCCTTCACTGCGTTGCAAACTTCTGACTGAAATTATAATACCCTGCAAGGGTATAAAAATAATGATTATTTACGGTCTCTGATTTAGTTACCATGCAAAAAAATTTTCCCAAAAATATGTATTTTCGAAACTACAGAATACGAAATGGTAATGGGCTGTCCCATTAACATTGACCACACAGCCAATTGGTATGCAAAGCGTATGCAACTGGTGCATCCTGTGCTGTGACATTGCCAGCAGCGTGGCTGCCACACCGCTGAAATGACACTGAAATGTCATGCGTAATATGCAAATCTCGGATGCATCCATTGCGAACAGCAATTGCAACTTCAGATCCAAGCAGCAGCGTTTCCAACTCCAAGTTTGCGGCCACAAAGCGAGCAAAGCGCATTCAAGCGGCAAAATGCGTAGAGCTCCTAGAATGAGGTTGTGCGTGGACGCTGGCAGATGAGGCTACGGGGGGCAGTATAAATACACGCAACAAATATGTAAATGTCAAGATTTGGGTAGATATAGGGTCTCTGATTTACCAGTAAAGTGTATACTTCTTGTTAAAAGACTAGTCATAAAACAAATATAAGTAAAAATTTAATTAATAAGTATATTGCTTTGGAAAAAATCTTTCATTTCTCTCCGTGTTCTTCCGAAGGTGGATATTAATCGCCCTGCGTTTGGCTTTTAATTACTTGTCATTTGTTGCATGGCACAATCGATTAATCAAAGCTCCTCCTCCTTCTCCCCTTGCTCCACAGACGTTGACGAATGCCAAGATCCCGCGATAGCAGCACGATGCGTGGAGAATGCCGAATGCTGCAATCTGCCGGCGCACTTCCTTTGCAAGTGCAAGGACGGCTATGAGGGCGATGGCGAAGTACTCTGCACGGATGTCGATGAGTGCAGCAATCCGGAGAATTGCGGGCCCAATGCCTTGTGCACCAATACGCCGGGCAACTATACATGCTCCTGCCCGGAGGGCTTTGTGGGCAGCAATCCCTATAGGGAGGGCTGCCAGGATGTGGACGAGTGCTCGTATCCCAATGTCTGCGGACCCGGTGCCATATGTACGAATCTCGAGGGCAGTCATCGCTGCGACTGCCCGCCGGGATACGATGGAGATGGACGCTCGGAGACCGGTTGCGTGGATCATGACGAGTGCGCCCGTTCGCCATGCGGCCGGAATGCAGACTGTTTGAACACGGAGGGCAGCTTTCGCTGTCTGTGTCCGGAGGGATACAGCGGTGACCCCATGCACGGCTGCGAGGGTGAGTTTGCTTAAGCCTTAAGATTACTTCATTCGTTTGACATTGTTCCATTTTGGTTGTTTTTTGCACTCGTTTTGTTTTTTGGTTAAATTTGAATTGGCCGCACCCTCAACATACCAAAAACACAAACACATACTATTATACTCGTACATTATTGCACCGCAAAACATGCAACATTAATACAAAAATTAATGCCTAACGCCGGCAGATGTCGATGAATGCGCCACTAACAATCCATGCGGTTTGGGTGCTGAATGCGTGAACATGGGCGGTAGCTTCCAATGTCGCTGTCCCCTTGGCTTCGTGCTTGAGCACGATCCGCATGCGGATCAATTGCCCCAGCAACAGACACTGGGTTACGGGCCGGGGGCAACCGACATTGTGCCCTACCGAAGGACCTCGGGCGCTGGGCTGGCCTGCCTGGACATTGATGAGTGCAATCAGCCGGATGGCGTGGCCAAGTGTGGCACTAACGCCAAGTGCATTAACTTCCCCGGCTCGTATCGATGCTTGTGTCCAAGCGGATTCCAAGGACAGGGCTATTTGCACTGCGAGAGTTAGTATCCTGCCAGCTTAATGCCTTTGTCAGAGCTTTTTATTTGGGAATCTTAAGAGAATTACTTGGTAAATTTGATTAGTGAGGCAAGCCGAATAAAAAGCTCTGAAAACTATATAGCATACAGGGTTGGCCAATCCCTTCTATTGCCTTAAAGTAAAGCTGGAAATATAAAACCATTCTATAATCGATTAATCGGTTTTTTAAAAATACAAATGGTGAAAAACCCCAAAAAAGATCAAAATTTGCAAACAAATATCAATAAATGAAATGTAAAAAGTCATAAAAATTATTAATATATAATTTAAAATGTTTTTCTTTATGATTTTTATCGATTATAATTGATTTACTTGTATAAATATTTGGAAAAAAGCGATTTATTGCCAGCTTTACCTTAAAGGATATGCCAGCTTTGTGTTTGCTTTCTCCCCTGCTATCCCCCACCCGCTATATGTGCTCTTTCCCAGCTGTTTTGCAAGCTTTAAGCTTAGCTTATTTGCATCCCCAGCAGGTGCATGCTTTCCCAACAGCTTCCTATCGTACTCCCCCTGTAGTCCAACCCTTCTATATCCTATATTCTATTCTTTATATTTATCTACCCACCCGTTCCCGCTCCCCCACTTCACGCTATGCTCCCTCACCTTCCATTCAATTCCGTATCGTTTTTGCATACTAATTCAATTAATTTTAATATATATATTTAACTCAACCCACAACCCGCCAATGAACACGCGTTGCCTGCCCCTTCTCAATCATCACCCCTGTCCCTGCACCGACCAACCGGAAATCGCGTAGACATCAACGAGTGTCAGGATAATCCGTGTGGGGAGAACGCCATCTGTACGGACACCGTCGGCAGCTTCGTGTGCTCCTGCAAGCCGGACTATACCGGAGATCCGTTCCGCGGTTGTGTGGATATTGACGAATGCACGGCCTTGGATAAGCCGTGTGGACAGCATGCTGTGTGCGAAAATGCCTCGCCAGGATACAATTGCAAGTGCCCGCAGGGATACGATGGGAAACCCGATCCCAAGGTGGCCTGCGAGCAGGTGGATGTCAACATCCTCTGCACCAGCAACTTCGATTGCACCAACAATGCAGAGTGTATCGAGAATCAATGCTTCTGTTTGGATGGCTTTGAGCCCATTGGAGCCAGCTGTGTGGACATCGACGAGTGCCGCACCCATGCGGACGTCTGTGGTCCCCATTCACAGTGCCTGAACACACCCGGATCCCATACCTGTGAGTGTGAGGCCGGCTATGTGGGCAGTCCCCCGAGGATGCCCTGCAAGCAGCCCTGCGAAGATGTCCGGTGTGGAGACCATGCCTACTGCAAACCGGATCAGAATGAAGCCTACTGCGTGTGCGAGGAGGGATGGACATATAATCCCAGTGACGTGTCCGCTGGATGCGTGGATATTGATGAATGCGATGTGCTGCATGGACCCTTTGGAAGCTGCGGCCAGAATGCCACTTGCACCAACAACGCCGGAGGCTACACGTGTGTCTGTCCGCCTGGGTTTTCGGGCGATCCTCATACAAAGTGCGTGGATGTGGATGAGTGTAGGTCAGGTGCCAGCAAGTGCGGAGCTGGAGCTGAGTGCGTAAACATGGTCGGCGGCGGTTACACTTGTCGCTGCCCAGGGAACACCATTGCCGATCCGGATCCCAGTGTGAGGTGTGTTCCCATTGTGAGCTGCTCAAACAACGAGGACTGTCCTGGCAATGCCATCTGTGATGAAACCAAGCGTTGTCTGTGCCCGGAACCAAATATAGGTAATGATTGCCGTCATCCTTGTGAAGCTCAAGACTGCGGAGCCCATGCCCAGTGTATGTTGGCCAATGGACAGGCTCAGTGCCTGTGTGCTCCTGGATATACTGGCAACGCAGCTCTCCCTGGAGGCTGCAATGACATCGATGAGTGCTCGAGGGCAAATCCTTGTGCCGAGAAGGCCATTTGCACCAACACCGCCGGCGGTTACCTGTGCCAGTGCCCTGGGGGCTCCAGTGGAGATCCGTATCGCGATGGCTGCATTACCTCGAAAACCGTGGGCTGCTCCGACGCAAATCCCTGTGCCACGGGCGAAAGCTGCGTGCAAGATTCCTACACCGGCAACAGTGTCTGCATTTGCCGGCAGGGTTACGAACGGAACCCTGAGAACGGGCAGTGCCAGGATATAGATGAGTGCTCAGCCCAGAGGGGCAAACCCGCCTGTGGTCTCAATGCTCTCTGCAAGAATTTACCCGGTAGCTACGAGTGCCGTTGTCCCCAAGGACACACGGGCAATCCCTTCGTCATGTGCGAGATCTGCAACACCCCAGAGTGTCAATGTCAACCGCCATATAAGCTCTTGGGCAACAGTTGCGTTCTGGCGGGCTGCTCCAATGGCCAGGCTTGTCCCAGTGGAGCAGAATGCATCTCCATAGCGGGCGGTGTTAGTTATTGTGCCTGCCCCAAGGGCTATCAGACCCAACCCGATGGCAGCTGTGTCGACATTAACGAGTGTGAGGAGCGTGGAGGGGCACAACTATGCTCGTTTGCAGCTCAGTGCGTGAACACTCAAGGAGGCTATAGTTGCCACTGCCCGGAGGGTTATCTAGGTGATGCCTACAATGGACTTTGTGCCCCTGCTCAACGCAAGTGCGCTGCCGACAAGGAGTGCTCGAGCAACGAAAAGTGCATTCAGCCGGGAGAGTGTGTGTGCCCGCCTCCTTACTTCCTGGATCCTCAGGATAACAACAAATGCAAGAGCCCCTGTGAACGTTTCCCGTGCGGCATCAATGCCAAGTGCACGCCATCGGATCCACCTCAATGTATGTGCGAGGCCGGCTTCAAGGGAGATCCACTCCTGGGTTGCACGGACGAGGACGAGTGTGCCCATCTCCCATGCGGCTATGGCGCCTATTGTGTGAACAAGAAGGGCGGTTACCAGTGCGTATGCCCCAAAGGCTTCACCGGAGATCCCTACAAGAGTGGTTGCATCTTGGAGACTGGAACCCCGAAGAGCAAGTGCCTCAGCAACGATGATTGCGCCAGTAACCTGGCCTGCTTGGAGGGCAGCTGCGTTAGCCCCTGCATCAGTCTCCTGTGCGGATCCAATGCCTATTGTGAGACGGAGCAGCATGCGGGTTGGTGTCGCTGTCGCGTGGGTTTTGTGAAGAACGGTGATGGCGATTGTGTATCCCAGTGCCAGGACGTGATCTGTGGCGAGGGAGCTCTCTGCATTCCCACCAGCGAGGGACCGACCTGTAAGTGCCCGCAAGGACAGCTGGGCAATCCCTTCCCCGGTGGTAGCTGCAGCACGGATCAGTGCACGGCCTCCAGGCCTTGCGGTGAGCGACAGATCTGCATTAATGGGCGGTGCAAGGAGCGCTGCGAGGGCGTGGTCTGTGGCATCGGCGCCACCTGTGATAGAAATAATGGAAAGTGTATCTGCGAACCGAACTTTGTGGGAAATCCCGATCTGCTCTGTATGCCGCCAATAGTACAGGCCATATGCTCGCCCACTTGTGGTGAGAATGCCCATTGCGAGTACGGTCTGGGTCAGAGTCGATGCGCCTGTAATCCTGGGACCTTTGGAAATCCCTACGAGGGATGCGGGGCACAGAGCAAGAACGTTTGCCAGCCGAATAGCTGTGGACCCCAGGCCGAATGCCGAGCTGTGGGAGATCGCATCTCCTGTCTGTGCCCTCAAGGATTCAGTGGTAATCCCTATATTGGCTGTGAGGATGTGGATGAGTGCACCAATAAGCCATGTGGCCTGAATGCGGCTTGCCTGAACACAGCTGGAGGATTCGAGTGCCTTTGCCTGTCAGGTCATGCCGGCAATCCTTACAGCAGCTGTCAGCCCATTGAGAGCCGGTTCTGTCAGGATGCCAGCAAGTGTCAGTGCAATGAGCGTGTGGAGTGTCCCGATGGCTATAGCTGCCAGAAGGGACAATGCAAGAACCTCTGCTCCCAGGCCTCGTGTGGTCCCCGAGCCATTTGCGATGCTGGAAAGTGCATCTGCCCCATGGGTTACGTTGGAGATCCCAAGGATCTCATAAATGGTTGCAGCATTCGGGGTCAGTGTGGCAACGATGCCGACTGTCGGCACTCGGAGATCTGCTTCCAGCTGGGCAAGGGACTGCGCAAGTGCGTTGACGCCTGCTCCAAGATTCAGTGCGGACCCAATGCTCTCTGCGTAGCTGATGATCATCGTTCCTCCTGCATCTGCTCCGATGGCTACTTTGGCAACCCCAGCAACCTGCAAGTTGGCTGTCAGCCGGAGAGAAAGGTTCCTCTGGAAGAGGAGGATAAATGCAAGTCGGATAAGGACTGTGGGCGAGGATATAGTTGCCAGATGGCTGGTGGACATGGTGCCCGAGAGTGCATTAACCTGTGCTCCAACGTGGTCTGCGGACCCAATGAGCTGTGCAAGATCAACCCAGCTGGACACGCGATTTGCAACTGTGCCGAGAGCTATGTTTGGAACCCAGTTGCCTCCTCTTGCGAGAAACCTTCCCTGCCAGACTGCACCAGTGATGCCAACTGTCCCGATGCCTCCGCTTGTCGCCCGGATGTCCTGGGCGTGCTCAAGTGCGTGGCCATTTGCGATGCCTTCACCTGTCCCGCCAACTCGGTGTGCGTGGCTCGCCAGCACCAGGGCCGTTGCGATTGTCTGCCTAACTTTGTGGGTAATCCCAACGATAGGAATGGATGCCAACCGGCAGTGAAACATCAATGCAAAAACCATGCCGAATGCCAGGAATCAGAGGCTTGCATCAAGGATGAGACTACTCAAACGCTTGGCTGTCGTCCGGCCTGTGATACGGTCAAGTGCGGACCCCGTGCCGTTTGCATAACCAACAACCATCAGGCGCAGTGTCAGTGTCCCCCGGGACCATTTGCCGGAGATCCGTACGATCCCTTCAATGGCTGCCAGAGTGTCCCGTGTGTGTATAATCACGACTGCCCGCCCAGCCAGATGTGTAACCGTATGACCCACACCTGCTACGATGTGTGCGACGAGGAGTCCTGTGGCGAGAATGCCATCTGCCTGGCTGAGGATCATCGCGCCGTTTGCCAGTGTCCGCCAGGATTCAAGGGAGACCCGTTGCCAGAAGTGGCCTGCACAAAGCAAGGAGGATGTGCTGCCGGAACCTGTCATGCCTCGGCCATTTGTGAAGTTACCCCAGAAGGACCCGTCTGCAAGTGTCCACCCCACTTTGGAGGCGATCCAAAGACCCGCGGCTGTCGTCCCGAAGGTCAGTGTCCCAATGGAGATGCTGATTGTCCTGCCAACACCATTTGCGCTGGAGGAAGATGCCAGAATCCCTGTGAAAATGCCTGCGGAGCCAATGCCGAGTGTAAGGTGGTCAACCGAAAGCCTGTCTGCAGTTGTCCACTGCGATTCCAACCGGTCTCTGATACGGCCCGGGATGGATGTGCCCGTAGTCCCTCCAAGTGTCTCACAGACGTGGACTGCGGCGGACAGTTGTGCTATAATGGACAATGCCGCATTGCTTGCCGGAACTCGCAGGATTGCTCCGATGGAGAGAGCTGCCAGAGTAACGTTTGTGTGGTTGCCTGCCTAGATCACAGTCAGTGCACTAGTGGCCTGGCCTGCGTGGAGGGTCACTGCACCATTGGCTGCCGCAGCAACAAGGAGTGCAAGCAGGATCAGTCGTGCATTGAGAACAAGTGCCTGAATCCCTGCCAGTCGGGCAGCAGCTGTGGGCCGAATGCCCTTTGCAGCATTGCCCAGCATCGAAGCCAATGCACTTGCCCGGAGGGCTTCGAGGGCAATCCTACGCCGGAACAAGGATGTGTGCGAGTGCCGGCTCCCTGCCTGGCCAGCAATCAATGCCCCAATGGACACATGTGCATTGGCAATCAATGCAACCTTCCCTGCACCAAGACTTCGGCCTGTGCTATTGGAGAACGTTGTTATCAACAGGTTTGCCGGAAGGTCTGCTACACGAGCAACAACTGTTTGGCTGGTGAGATTTGTAACTCAGACAGGACATGCCAGCCAGGCTGTGAATCGGATGCGGATTGTCCACCCACAGAGCTGTGCCTCACCGGAAAGTGCAAATGTGCTACTGGCTTCATAGGCACTCCCTTTGGCTGTTCGGACATTGATGAATGTACGGAGAAACCCTGCCATACCAGCGCTGTTTGTGAGAATATCCCTGGATCCTATCGTTGCGTTTGCCCCGAGGGAACTGTGGGTGATGGCTATGCCCAGCAACAGGGTTGCTCCAAATCCGGACTCTGTCACAAATCAGATGATTGCTCCAATAACTTGGCCTGCATCCATGGCAAGTGCACGGATCCCTGCCTACACACTATTTGCGGAGCCAATGCTCTGTGTCAGGCGGAAGGACACGAGGCATTGTGCAGCTGTCCCGGAGGATATTTGGGTGATCCCAACGATACCGGGGTGGGTTGCTTTAAGGTTGAGTGCATTGATCATGAGGATTGTGCCGGAGATCGCGCCTGCGATGCGGAAACCAATCGCTGCATCAAGCCCTGTGATCTGACCAGTTGCGGCAAGGGTAACTGCCATGTGGAGGACCACAAGGCCGTGTGTGCCTGCTACGAGGGATACCAGCTGGTCAACAACGGCCTATGCGAGGACATCAACGAGTGTCTAGCGAAGCCTTGCCACGCCACCGCCTTCTGCAACAATTTACCAGGAAGCTACAACTGTCAGTGCCCTGAGGGTCTGATTGGAGATCCCTTGCAAGCCGGCTGCCGCGATCCCAGCGAGTGTCTCAGCGATGCGGATTGTCCGGTTTCGGCCAATTGCCAGAACTCCCGATGCCGCAGTCCCTGTGAGCGTCAGAATGCCTGCGGATTGAATGCAAACTGCCAGGCTCAGGCCCATCAGGCGGTCTGCACCTGTCCCAGCAATTCTCGCGGAGATCCCACCGTGGAATGTGTTCACATTGAGTGCTCCGACAATGACGATTGCTCTGGGGATAAGGCCTGCTTGGACTCGAAGTGCATAGATCCCTGCTCTCTGCCGAATGCCTGTGGAGCTCAGGCCCGTTGCTCGGTTCAGAATCACATTGGAGTCTGCTCCTGTGAGTCGGGAAGTACCGGAGATGCCAAGTTGGGATGTGTCCCGCTGCAGTACTGCCAGCAGGACGAACAATGTGCCCAGGGTAGCATCTGTTCCCATGGCATATGCAGCCCCCTGTGCAGCACCAACCGCGATTGCATCTCGGAACAGTTGTGCTTGCAGGGCGTCTGCCAAGGGACCTGCAAGTCAAACTCCACTTGTCCCCAGTTCCAGTTCTGTTCGAATAACATTTGCACCAAGGAGCTAGAGTGCCAGTCTGACGGGGATTGTGGTGAGGATCAGACCTGCTTGAATGATGCCTACGGGCGTGCCAGATGTGAGTCCGTGTGCTTGGGTCGCGCCGCCTGCGGCAGGAATGCAGAATGTATAGCCCGTTCCCATGCTCCGGATTGTATTTGCAAGGAGGGATTCTTTGGTGATGCCCGTTCCGGATGCCGAAAGATCGAGTGCTCTACCGACGACGATTGCTCCAATGACAAGAGCTGTGACAACCACATGTGCAAGATTGCCTGCCTTATTGGACAGCCATGCGGTGAGAATGCTCTGTGCACTACGGAGCACCATCAGCAAGTGTGCCACTGTCAGCCCGGTTTCAGTGGCGATCCACGCGTTCGTTGCGATGTTATTGACTTTTGCCGCGATGCTCCGTGCGGACCCGGAGCCCGTTGCAGGAACGCGCGGGGGTCGTACAAATGCACCTGTCCCACGGGACTCGTTGGTGATCCGTACAACGAGGGCTGTCGCAGCTCCGTGGAGTGCGAGACCAACGAGGACTGTCCCCCGCATGCTGCATGCACCAAAGCAAACGGTGTGGCCAAGTGCCGCGATGTCTGTGCCCAGCTGCAATGTGGCCCCAATGCGGAATGTGTTCCGAAGGGTCATGTGGCGCAGTGTGCATGCCGCAGCGGCTACGACGGCCAACCCGCCGACCGGGTGGCCGGCTGTAAGCCGCTGCCCGTTCCCTGTCAGGTCACCGGCGACTGTCCGACCAACACATACTGCTCGGATAGCGTCTGCAAACGTAAGTACTAACCACGAACCCAGCGTTGGGCCTAAACCAGACTACCAGACAGCGTAAAATTGGTTAATCTACCTGCCAACCTACCTCTCTTTTGTAGTACTTACTTACATACTTACAAACTAGCACTGGATATATTCACAGGAGATGTTGTGGTACTAAGAGAGCTTACTTAGGGCTTTAAATATTAAGTTTTTAAATAAATATTATTGATTAGGCAAGCGTATAAAAATTATGTAATACTAGCTAGACTAAATTAAAATATATTTCTCTAATAGATGGGTTTTATTCTACAATTTTTTAAAAAATAATTTTTAAGAGACAAAATAATACAAAAATATGACAAGTTTAAACTGTGAATCTTTTTCTTTAAATATTTAGGAATATTATAAAAAAGGCTCTCTTTTTTTGTTTTTAACCGATACATAATTTCTTCACAACATAAAATAAATTTCATAATTTAAAATATCTAGTATTTATATAAACAGAAAGCTACCACAACATCTTCCGAAAACAACAACCACTAGAACCTTGGACTGGCCTAAAGCCTACTTAATAATTGATATTTTATTACTAAGACTAACTTAACTGCAAACTAAAATGAAAATACAGCAAATTACACACACAAACGACAACACGCCACGAACATTGCGAGACTGTAACGCCAACAGAGAAATAATTACTTGCTGTTATAAAGCCACTCCCCTAACTCCTGAATATCCTTTCCCATAGCTGCTTGCGTGCTGGACACCGAATGTGGACCGTCTGAGGTGTGTCAAGGTGGGCAATGCTTCAATCCCTGCCTGCAGCCGCAGACGTGTGGCCAGAATGCCGAGTGCATCATCCAGAATCACATCAAGCAATGTCACTGCCCCGAGGGCTTCACTGGCGATTCTGCCAAAGAGTGTGTCCGAGTGCCGGTGGCCTGCGATGGTGACTGTGCCCCTGGCTACACCTGTCGCGATTCCATGTGCCTGCCTGAATGCCACAATGATCTTGAGTGTGCCTCTAATGAGAAGTGCCTTAAGGGCAATTGTATGCGTAAGTTACCTTTGACTTTCTCCCTTAAGGTATAAATTAAAATCCTGCTTCTTTCTTAGTGACCTGCCGCGTGGACAACGATTGCTTCCTGGGTCATGTGTGCCTGCACAACAAGTGTGTCTATGGCTGCCATGTGGACGACGATTGCAGTGCCTCCGAGTCCTGTCGCAATGACAAGTGCGTGAATCCCTGCCTGGAGAGCAGTCCCTGCGGCCCCAATGCCGCCTGTGCTGTGTCCAACCACAGGGCCAGCTGCAGCTGCCTGGATAGCATGGTGCCCAATCCCACGCCCCAGGTGGGCTGTGTGCGCTCTCCCCCGCTGGAGTGCCGCGAGAATCGCGACTGTGGCAATGGACTGGCCTGCTTTGAGTCGGTTTGCCGTCCCCTGTGCGCCGACGATGCTGGCTGCTTGACCAACGAACGGTGCCAGCAGGGAGTGTGCAAGTCCCTCTGCCGGCACGACAACGAGTGTGGTCATGGAGAGCTCTGCCTGGGCTTGAATTGTGTTCCAGGCTGCCGCTCAGATCAGGGATGCCCTCAGAACCTGGCCTGCGTGGGTCAACAGTGCGCGAATCCTTGCGAAGATCCAACTGCCTGCGGCACTAATGCCGCCTGCCAGGTGATCGATCATCGCAAGCAGTGCTCATGCCCGGAGGGTCTCGACGGCAATGCCAATGTGGCCTGCAAGGTGCCCCGCATCGCTTGTGGCCGGAACGAGGATTGCCAGTCCAACCAGCTCTGCTATGCCGGCAGCTGCCAGGGCAAGTGCAGGAACGACCAAAACTGCCTGTCGGACGAGCGCTGCATGCGAGGAACCTGCAGAACCGTTTGCAACACGGACGAGGCCTGCTCCCAAGGACAGATCTGCGAGAATCGCATGTGCCAGACCGGATGTCGGACGGACTTGAGCTGTGCCACCGACGAGGCATGCGTGAACAAGAAATGCCAGAACCCATGTCGCACCCCGGGTCAATGCGGACAGTGTGCCGATTGCCTGGTGGTTAACCACGGCGTCCAGTGCCAGTGTCCTGCATCCTTCATTGGAGATGGTCTTACTGGCTGTCAGCTGCCGCCGGAACGCTGCCATCCCGGTTGCGAATGCGACGAGAACGGCGCCTACTGTGCTGCCCAGTGCTCCCGGAACGAGGACTGCTCGTGTGGTCAGCAGTGTGCCAGAGGCAAGTGCCGGAATAAGTGCGGACCCAAGCGTCAGTGCACGGTGGGTCAGCTTTGCGAGCGTGGAGCCTGTATTGCCGGCTGCAAATCCAACGGAGATTGTGCCGCCGATCAGAGCTGCGTCCGTGGAAAGTGCACGGATCCTTGTGCGGATGATAAGGCCTGTGGGCGGAATGCCCTGTGCACTGTCTCCGAGCATCGGATGCTCTGCTACTGTCCCGATGGCTATGAAGGCGAGCCCAGCAAGGAGTGCGTCCAGTTCGAGTGCCGCGTGGACAACGACTGCGATAGCAACAAGCGCTGCGACCAAGGAAAGTGCCGTAATCCCTGCCTCGAGTACGGAGCCTGCGGCTCGAATGCCCAATGCCGTGTGGTGGGTCGCAAGGCTCAGTGCTCTTGCCCGCCGGACTTCTTTGGCAACCCAATTACGGGCTGCCAGCCGCTGGAGGGAGGCGGATGTTCGACTAAACCTTGTGGGGAGAACTCCAAGTGCACTGAGGTGCCTGGCGGCTATGAGTGTGCCTGCATGGATGGCTGCATTGGGGATGCCCACAATGGATGTATTTGCGGAGGACCGCTGGTGAATGCCTGCCAGGATCAGCCTTGTGGCTTGAATGCCGCCTGCCAAGTGCTGGAGAACAACCAGGCCGAGTGCTACTGTCCGGAGACCTTCCCCAACGGTGATGCCTATGTGCAATGTGAGTAACTAAGACTTCTAGAACTAACCTGAGAACTCAGTAAGAGGATGAGAGTCTTGAAATGGCAACAACTAACCCATTTATACTTTTTAACTTCTTACAGGTTACTTGACCCCACCACAACAGGATTGTCGCACCCTGGGCTGCGATGTGGGTGACTGCGTTCGCCAGGGCTATGAATATGTGTGCCAGAGGGGTAAGTGCCCAATTTTATACTCAAATTTCGTGGGTTATCTACCGTACCGTTTTATGTTAATCCTGTTAACCGGCGTTCCTTACAAATTATTCGTTATATTTTGTAATCAGTAAGCGTTATCGTTGACAAATTGTTGATTCTCACCAAAATAACTGGAGGTTGTTAGTAACCAAAATTGAAACTGATTTAATTCTTATTTTTATCTTGGTTTAATTACTTAGTTCTGAGTTGTTACAAGCCCAAGCAAAACTTAAACCTAAAGCTAATTAGCTAATTCCACTAATTCAACACACAGCCCTGGCGGCTGCCTAGAACATTTACCAAAGAAATCTGATTTCAGTGTAGTGTGTGCCAAAATGCTAATTCGTTTGTATGTTTTACACAGTTTTTAATTTAATTTTAACAACCTATACACATGTGCGAAGTTCTAGGGTATTTATTACTTAGTCTAATATGGTTATTCCCCGCACGCACAAAAAACAAACACGCAAAAACAAATCAAAAAGCCACCTACACAACCAACTCCCAAACTGGCAAGGCAGCTGCTTATTCAGCTGGAAAAATGTCAATAATTAAAATTAAATTCAATGCACAGTTTAAGTAATGCAATTTTTTTGTTAGCTATATTTTTTGGTATTTTTTTTTTCATAATAGTTTGTAAGCTATACAAAAACACACCATCAACGCATATGGAGATTCGTGGAATTCGTTGCTGTCGCTATCGCGGTTACCCAATCTGTGCCTAAAATTCATTTTTGAAACAGACAATTAAAAAACCGAAATATGAAGTGTAGTTTTTAAGCAAATTTCAACTATCTTTACTAAAAATTTCATTCACAATCAGAACATTTTATGCAAAATAAGCTAGTAAGCCAAAGTTTACCTTGGAATCCATTAAGCTTGAAGTCTGCCTTCTCATATTTCATTCGGCTTTCATAAAGCTCCGCTCAGCTCAAACTATTTTCTTAGTTCCATACAATTGGCTTTGACATAACCATGTGTATTGGCGCTGGATACACGGCATCCATTACGACTTGGACACAGTTAACGCACAGATATCAGTAGATAAATTTGGTTCATCATCCCTATTTTTAACATTTAGTCTAACGACAAACAACGCCGCGATAGCGATATGTAGGCAATAAAATTGGTAGCAAAATATTATTAATTAATTACAAAATGTGCAAAAAAGGCACAAAAATCAAAAACCTAACGAAAAGTAAAAAAAAATATACAACACAATGCCACGCTAATCATCATTATAGACAACAATCCTCAACACATCCTTGAATAAAAAAAATCGATATCCCGTTTACCCGAATAATCCCATCCTGATTCCTACAATTCCGCTCTGTCCACCCGCCCCCTTGTGTACCCCAAGCTCTGTCGTTTCCTTTTGCTAAGCCCCTTTTGTTACCATTTCTTAAATGAAAAAAGTCTCAGATTGGGAACTGTGGACGGGACAATTCTCACACATAGTTCACATATGCTTGAAACGAAAGTTCGAAGCCAATTCGAAGACCAATTAAGGAACAAAACATAGTAACCAAGTTAAGATTCATTAGAAATGTGTACAGAACAATTACAAAAACAAAAACAAAACAAAAACAACATTACTACTACTACTTTTCAATGCATCCCTAAAGCAAGTCTACAGCCATAACCGAGAATAAACGGAAGCGTTTATTTTGTACAAAACTCCTTTTAAAATAATAAATATTAAGATCTTATACTCTGAAAGCTCCTCCCTATCTACCGCTCTCTACATAGATCGTCTATTGGTTAAAAACTCTATATAAACAACCACCCCGAATTGATTTAAATTGTAACTAAATTTAACTAACCTTTCAATGACTTTTTTTTGGTACATTTGACTAGTGATTAAGTTGTATATACAGACATTTTGTACACACCTGTACATATAAGCTGCGTCTAAGTGGCTAAAAACACTAACCCTATTGAAAGCAAAGAAAATCTGTAAATATATACCAAATTTGAACAAAACTGTGAATTATGAATAACCCAGGATGAGTCGAACTACCCAAGTATACTTCTAACGTACTTTTCAAAATTGTATTTACGTATCGATTTCCAATTACTCATTTCTTCTATACATAATCCTACTAAAGCCTCTTCCTACAAAGCTAATCTTTCTTTAGCCAGACTTGTATTTACCCATCCTTCTCTTCAAATAGATATCTCTCTTCCTCCTTTCTCTGAATCAATCACTCACTCACCAATATCGCCAATAACGTGTCTCTCGTGAGGGCAGAGCGCATGTGTTGGATGTCGTGTAATTTTTGTCATTACTCAATCTGAAAAAAAAAATAATAATAATAATAAATAAACCAAAATATATATATAGTTCGAAATCGCATTAATCCCGATCAAAAATTCATTGCTCAACTAAGCTTGCCTTTAGTACAGCATCCAAATTATTGGGATAGTGCCAAGCAGGCTTCCCTGCTCTATGCTCGCTCTTAATAACGGTAAACCATCAAAGAATGTAACTATGCTCACTTGTTCTCACTGCTACGCCTACTCGCTCACACTAGAACGCTGGTCATACCACCAAATCAACGATAAAACCCAAAACAAACTCTATTGATACGTATTGTTTTGGCCTGCCTATATAGACTGTAAAACCCTAGTTTTTGTGAGATGTTCCCTTCACAGTTCTACAATTTGAATTAAGACAAGCGAAAGAATGTCAGAACTTTGCTGCTTTAACTAACTAGCACCTGTTGAATAAATTTGTTAAATTAAATCAAAGTGCCAGTGTCCAACTTATGATCTTATTATTTCTGTATGTACTGTATCTGATCTGATCTCCCCTCTTAAATTTTCTTTTACTCTAATAACCCCCGTGCACAAAACCCCCAAAACCCAAAAAATCGAGCCCACAATAATCCCACTGACACTTAATTGAACACCGAAGCCGATGACCCACCACAAAAAACACACACACAACCCCCAAACCCAAAATACCAAAAATAAATATACACAAAACACTTAAGCCAAAAAAGAAGTCCAACCAACGAAAAACTGGATTAAACTGTTTATATGTTGTCTCGTTTAAGTTCTTCCTTTGTTTTTTTGTTTTTAGAAACATTTAGTTTTAAGATTTATCCGAGTCCCCCACCCATCACTCTTGTTTCCAAGAAATATTGTCTTGCAAATATCCCAGCAAGTCCTGAACCCTCCATCAGACTTTATTGTCTAACGAAGCCCCCACCTTTGAACCGACGATTTTTATGTCGCACTTTCGTTTCTATGTGTTTCCAAGATAATCTATTGAGTAGCGAACCCTTTACCGACTATGTCACCGAATGAATAGTTGAATGCACCCACCAACGATTAACATTTAAACAACCAAAACAACTCCTGTCTATCTCTCTCTCGTTCTTCCCTGCCCTGGATGTTATGTTATAGACACCGAACAATGCTACTCAGATACGGATTGTCCCAGTGAAAAGTCATGCCTCCAAGGACACTGCAGCGATCCTTGTACAATGCGTGGCGCGTGTGGTGTGAATGCGCTCTGCAAAACTGTACTGCATCGGCCGCGCTGCTCCTGCCCCAGCTGCCACATCGGTCGGCCGGAGGTCGAGTGTAAGCTCGATCCCAAGTGCTCATCCGATGATGCGGATGCCAAGACCAAGGAGCAGATCCCATGCTCCAGCGATTCCGAGTGCCCCGAGACGTTGCAGTGCGGCCAATACGGTCAATGCACAGATCCGTGCAACAATCCGCTCTTCATTTGCGAGAGCAACAAGAAGTGCGAGACCCGGCGCCACCAACCGGTCTGCATTTGCAAGTCGGGCTTTATAGTGAACGAGTATGGCGAGCTAACCTGTGCCCCAGATAAGCGGGAGTGCTATCGCGACGATGACTGCGCCTCGAACATGGCCTGCACGGATGGCAAGTGTCGAAACCCGTGCATCGTCCCCTTGGGCCGAGCACCGATCTGTGCGGAAAACAAGTCCTGTGAGGTGCAAAACCACAAGCCCGTGTGCATTTGCATGCGGGACTGCCAGCCATCGATATCCATCTGTCTGCGAGACGCCGGCTGTCCAGCTGGCCTGGCCTGTCGCAAGCTCCAGTGCGTCGATCCGTGCAAATTTGCCACGTGCGCACCCAACTCGCCATGCATTGTCGAGGATCACAAGCCGATATGTAAATTCTGCCCAGCTGGATTTATAGCCGATGCCAAATATGGATGTCAAAAAGGTAAAGCACCAAACGTACTCTCTCTCTCACTCAGCTCTCTGTCGAGTGATAGTGCCTTATGTCTTTCTGTCTCGATTATCTCTGTTTCCCGCTCTCTCTCTCACACATGCTCTCACCTTTTTGCTAGTCTTATTGTCTGTCCCCTCACAAAAAAAAAATTAAAATAAAAATAAAAAAAGAACCTCAACCGATCGCAAACAAATCAGCACGAGAAAATACATTGACCGAAGCGCCGCCTACACCTTTTTAATGTTTCAGGTCTTGTCAATTATTTTCCTAGAAATGTTTGTGCAAATGTACATAGGACTGAGAAATTAACTGCCCGTACCAAGCTTTAGCCTACCGATATGGTTTTTAGCAAAAACTTACCCTCCAAAAGCTTAGTTACAAGCCAGAAGCCAAGGTCAAAAGACTTTATAACCCCACGGTCAGATGCTTTACGCCACTAGCACAGCGACTAGGTTGAAGCACTTGAATGAAAAGAGTTATTGAGAAAGGCGTTGATCTTTAAGATCTTACTACGTCCCTTTGGATTATCCATTGGGAATTCAAATGAAACATATACAATAACATAAAGACACAATTTCAAGAAAACTCTTCTGAACATTCACACACGCTCATGCTCACAGTGATATTAATCAATTTATTAATCAAAAGGCTCCCGATTACTCGTACTATACAATTCTTAACCTATGATTCTAAATAAACGGTACTGAGATGTAATACTAATGGTAAACCTAAACCAATCCAACACCAAATATGTAGCTAACTAATAGTAAAGACGTTCGTTTCTAATTTAAAAATGATTAACCGTAAAATAGTTTATAAAGCTTCCGATATTTGTTTACATTTGCAGCTGTATGCAAGAGAGTTAGATAGAATTCCGATACAGTATTTCCTTAGGTATGCCCCTCTGTATATATATATAGTGCACATACTCTTTTAACGTAGATATACACTTTCTTCCTTTAGTTGGTATAAACTTGTAAATATTTTAACGATTTTTTTATTTTTTTAAATCTTATACTTTTATTTTGAAATATGTACAAAAATATCCCACTCAAAAATGCAAAATTATGTAAAACCAAAAACCCGATAAAGCAGCTAAGCCAGGTGGCAACTGTACGTCACACGAAGATTGCAGTGAAGCTCACCAATGTGGATCGTCTGGTCAATGTATTGATCCCTGTCAAATAGTTTGTGCGAACGCAGTAAAGTGCCTTACACTAGATCATAGGGTTGCCACATGCATTTGCCCGAACACCCTGACGAACACAAACGGCACTAGGTGCATTCCCACCGAAACTACCCTCCAGACAACCACGAAACCGACTGAATCGACTACAGAATCAATTAATATAAAATATACAGTTATGCAGTTGGCAAATCAAACCGAAATGCGAACTCGATTTACCGATATAGAAGCAGAAAACGAAACAACCATGTCTTATACTAGTACCACCGAATCCTACCAAACTACACAACCCATTTCATTCACAAGACCTACTGTCTCATATAATAATGCCCCTCCATATGAGAACGCAAAAGAAACCCCAACAGAAATGGAAACTCCAGCGACCGACAATTCTTTTCCGCCAATAACACAAGAAAGTACTTCTTCAGAAAGACCTATACAAACTACAAGTACTACTCCAGGACGTATAACAAAACAAATGACTGAGTTTTCGACAGAAATACCAACTATACGACCTGAAAGTAGCGTTCCGAATAAAACGTCCGATGAAACCACTCATATTCCTGTTGGAACGACAACCCACGAAGACACGACAAAATCTCCCAGTGAAGAGACAACTACAGAACTTGTTAGTAGGAAAACTCCTCCCACAACAGATGAGCAAACAACAACATTTACCACAGACATTTCAACTAGTCGGTCTGAGGGTACTGCTTCGGCAATCACCACAGAAACTACCTCTCATATTCCGATTGGAACAACTAGGGGTCAAGTAACTGAAGCAACGACTAAAACGCCTATCGAAGAAACAACAACAGGGCCTGTTGGTGGGCAAACTTCTCCGTCTGACTCAACATACACAACCTTCTCTATGGGTACTACTTCAGGAGGAATTACAGAAGAGACGACAGTATTTACTACTGAAGTTCCAACTAGTCGGTCTGAGGGTTCTGCTTCGGCAATCACCACAGAAACTACCTCTCATATTCCGATTGGAACAACTAGAGGTCAAGTAACTGAAGGAACGACTAAAACGCCTATCGAAGAAACAACTACAGGTCCTGTTAGTAGGCAAAATTCTCCGTCTGACTCAACATACACAACCTTCTCTATGGGTACTACTTCAGAAAGAATTACAGATGAGACGACAGTATTTACTACTGAAGTTTCAACTAGTCGGTCTGAGGGCACTGCTTCGGTAATCACCACAGAAGCTACCACTCATATTCCGATTGGAACGACCAGGGGACAAGTAACTGAAGCAACGACTAAAACGCCTATCGAAGAAACAACTACAGGTCCTGTTAGTAGGCAAACTTCTCCGTCTGACTCAACATACACAACTTTCTCTATGGGTACTACTTCAGGAGGAATTACAGATGAGACGACAGTATTTACTACTGAAGTTCCAACTAGTCGGTCTGAGGGTTCTGCTTCGGCAATCACCACAGAATCCACCTCTCATATTCCGATTGGAACAACTAGGGGTCAAGTAACTGAAGCAATGACAAAAACGCCTATCGAAGAAACAACAACAGGGCCTGTTGGCGGGCAAACTTCTCCCTCTGACTCAACAGACACAACCTTCTCTATGGGTACTACTTCAGGAAGAATTACAGATGAGACGACAATATTTACTACTGAAGCTCCAACTAGTCGGTCTGAGGGTACTGTTCCGGCAATCACCACAGATGGTACCACTCATATTCCTATTGAAACAACTAGTGGGCTTATGACTGAAGGAACGACTAAATCGCCCAGCGAAGAAACAACCAGAGGGCCTTTTGGTAGGCAAACTCGTCCTTCTGACTCAACAGGCACAACCTTCTCTATGGGTACTACTTCAGAAAGAGTTACAGATGAGACGACAGTATTTACTACTGCAGTTCCAACTAGTCGGTCTGAGGGTACTGTTCCGGCAATCACAACTGAAGCTACCACTCATATTCCGATTGTAACTGAAGCAACGACAAAAACGCCTATCGAAGAAACAACTACAGGTCCTGTTAGTAGGCAAACTCCTCCGTCTGACTCAACATACACAACCTTCTCTATGGGTACTACTTCAGGAGGTATTACAGATGAGACGACAGTATTTACTACTGAAGTTTCAACTAGTCGATCTGAGGGTACTGCTTCGGCAATCACCACAGAAGCTACCACTCATATTCCGATTGGAACGACCAGGGGACAAGTGACTGAAAAATCGACAAAATCACCCAGCGAAGAAACAACAACAGGGCCTGTTGGTGGGCAAACTCCTCCCTCTGACTCAACAGGCACAACCTTCTCTATGGGTACTACTTCAGAAAGAGTTACAGATGAGACGACAGTATTTACTACTGCAGTTCCAACTAGTCGGTCTGAGGGTACTGTTCCGGCAATCACAACTGAAGCTACCACTCATATTCCGATTGTAACTGAAGCAACGACAAAAACGCCTATCGAAGAAACAACTACAGGTCTTGTTAGTAGGAAAACTTCTCCGTCTGACTCAACATACACAACGTACTCTATGGGTACTACTTCAGGAGGTATTACAGATGAGACGACAGTATTTACTACTGAAGTTTCAACTAGTCGGTCTGAGGGTACTGTTCCGGCAATCACCACAGAAGCTACCACTCATATTCCGATTGGAACGACCAGGGAACAAGTGACTGAAAAATCGACAAAATCACCCAGCGAAGAAACAACAACAGGGCCTGTTGGCGGGCAAACTTCACCCTCTGACTCAACAGACACAACCTTCTTTATGGGTACTACTTCAGGAAGAATTACAGATGAGACGACAATATTTACAACTGAAGTTCCAACTAGTCGGTCTGAGGGCACTGCTTCGGCAATCACCACAGATGGTACCACTCATATTCCTATTGAAACAACTAGTGGGCTAATGACTGAAAGAACGACTAAATCGCCCAGCGAAGAAACAACCACAGGTCCTTTTGGTAGGCAAACTCGTCCTTCTGCCTTAACAGACACAACCTTCTCTATGGGTACTACTTCAGGAAGAACTACTGATGAGACGCCAGTATATACTACTGAAATTTCAACTAGTCGGTCTGAGGGTACTGCTTCGGCAATCACCACAGAAGCTACCACTCATATTCCGATTGGAACGACCAGGGGACAAGTGACTGAAAAATCGACAAAATCACCCAGCGAAGAAACAACAACAGGGCCTGTTGGTGGGCAAACTTCTCCGTCTGACTCAACATTCACAACCTTCTCTATGGGTACTACTTCAGGAAGAATTACAGATGAGACGACAGTATTTACTACTGCAGTTCCAACTAGTCGGTCTGAGGGTACTGTTCCGGCAATCACAACTGAAGCTACCATTCATATTCCGATTGTATCTGAAGCAACGACAAAAACGCCTATCGAAGAAACAACTACAGGTCCTGTTAGTAGGCAAACTCCTCCGTCTGACTCAACATACACAACCTTCTCTATGGGTACTACTTCAGGAGGTATTACAGATGAGACGACAGTATTTACTACTGAAGTTTCAACTAGTCGGTCTGAGTATACTGTTCCGGCAATCACCACAGAAGCTACCACTCATATTCCGATTGGAACGACCAGGGGACAAGTGACTGAAAAATCGACAAAATCACCCAGCGAAGAAACAACAACAGGTCCTGTTAGTAGGCAAACTTCTCCGTCAGACTCAACAGACACAACCTTCTCTATGGGTACTACTTCAGGAAGAATTACAGATGAGACGATAATATTTACTACTGAAGCTCCAACTAGTCGGTCTGAGGGTACTCTTCCGGCAATCACCACAGAAGCTACC